GTGTGTTTTTTGGCTTTACGGAAAGTTCCTATTTATAGATGTAGGAGAAAGAACCCTACCAAATTTAAGAATCTTCAGACACGATTTGATTGGTCCATGATGATTCACATAAGACCTTTTGGATTTACTTAGATCTACCAAGATCTTCTAGAAGACATGTGATTTATTACCAAAAATTAAGATTTGACACTTGGCAATATTTGATTGGTCAAGAATGAAAATATTAAAATATCAATTAATTAACTATTTAAATTTAGGAATTAAATTTATGAAAATTCCTAAAATATAAATAGAAAATATGACTTGATTTTTAATAAATTAATTTCCACGTGGCGCCATTTGATTGGCCACAAATTTTCTTTATCTACACTTACAGTAACGACTTTAGCACGCCAATATACCAATAGACGCACGTCTATTGGCACGAATTTTTTGCAACGATATATCATCCCAATAAATAAATAGTAACAATTTTAAAGGTTATAAGCCTGACATTTAGTTGTTCCACTTAAGCTTGTTTCTTGTAGATTTGTGCATTAGTGTATGTGTTAGTGTGTCTATGTGTTAGTTGTGTATTGTGTGTATTGTGTATGAGTGTTTGTGCTTGTGTGTGAGTATTAGTGTGTGTGTGTGTGTGTGTGTTGCTAAGTGTCTATGTTAATTTAAAAGTGTGAGTTTGTGTATGTGTGTGTGTGTGGAGGGTGCATGAGTTTGTGTGTGTTTGTGCATTAGTGTATGAGATTGTGTGTGTGTTAGTGTGTGTTGGTGTGTGTCTATGTGTGTTAGTTGTGTGTGTGTGCTTGTGTGTGAGCATTAGTGTTTGCGTCTATGTATGTTGGTGTTTATGTTTGTTTGTTGGTATGTGTCTATTTTAATTTAAAAGTGTGAGTTTGTGTGGGTATGTGTGGATCGCGCATTAGTTTGTGTGTTTGTGCATTAGTATGTGAGTTTGTGTGTGTTTGTTAGTGTGTGTTGGCGTGTGTGTGTTGATGTGTGTCTATGTGTGTTATTTGTGTATTATGTGTATTGTGTGTGAGTGTGTGTCTATGCACAAAAAATAAATTAAATAAGCATTAATTAAATAATAAAAAGACCAAGGGTCAAATTGTAGTTATTTAGAGCATGCTTGGATATAATATTTTTTTTTATTGGATTTTTTGTTTGAGTTGGTTAAATTTGAAAAAGTTTGTATGGTTAGTTGTTAATGAGTATATTAAAATAATATTTAAAATAAAATGATTAAAATTAAATTGATGTAAAAGTAGGAGAGAGAAGATGTGATGTGATGGTTAGTTAAAATTATGGGAGTTGATGAATAGTGAATTAAGGTTGATGTTGTGTGTAAGAATGATTGATTGATATTATTTAATTATATTGATAATATTGATGATAATGGGGTGAGTTAAAGTTGAGTTAAAAAACGTGGTTGAGTCAGAAATTATTGGATTTTTTTGGTTGAATTTGTATCCAAGCATGCTCTTAAACTTTAAATAAATTATATATTGACCTTAAGGATAAATTGAAATTAAATCATAAGTTTTTTAAATTACAAATAGGTCCCTACGATTAATGGAATTTTCGAACAAAAATCCTGCCCCAAAATCTGCCCTCTTGTTGAAATCTGAATCCCTAATTACCGTTTTCTGTTGTCGATTTTCCCGTAGTTGTGCATTCGAGGAGGGCGCCCTCTAGACAGACTACCGGCGACTCTGAGTCCCTCACTCTTGTCTGCTTCGATCGCGCCATGCTCTTCCCGTCGCGATCTGAAGCGCCGGCAGTGATGAGGAGGCGATGAAGAAAAATTACAGGCGACAAGTGAGACGCGGTGGCCACTTGGAGGACTCGCCGGCCTCGGGTGGCTGGGTCCTAATCCAGCACGCCGACCTGGTGGCAAAGGGGACAGTGGGGTCGAGAGCCGGCCGAAATCGGGGAAGCAGTAGCTACCACAGCCGTAGGTGGTGGTTCCGGCGGCTGCAGGTGCGGTCTCGACATTTTCGGCAGCTCCTGCCAGCCAACAGTCGTCGACCAGTGGCCAGTCAAGTTTATTTTATTAATTAATTTATTATTTAATTAATTTAAATATAATAATTAATATTTTTATTATTTAAATAATGTTTATTATAATTGATTAGTATGGGACATTGATCCCGATAAAATCAATGGCTATGATTGAGTCTCACGTACTCAATTTAAGGAGTGTCCTCATTTGATCCACTCTATAATATATATATATATTATATATTAGGTATATACACAAATTAAAACCATTAATTTGTTATTAAAAAAACAAACATGAATGTTGTATGTAAGAAAATATTTAATAATGTATAATTTTTATTTTTACAACTTTTTTCCTTATGCATCACTATATGCATGCATGTATGCATGCATGCATGCATGTATGTATGTATGTGTGTCGTATCTTGCACCGGTAAGACCACTAGTTTTACTATTTATTATGATTATTATTATTTTTATTATATAAATAGTATAAATTTTATGCATAAAAATTAAAATAGTTTTTATTATTTTGAAAAATAAGTTTTAAAATTTTAAAGAACAGAACGGAAGCCTAGGTGACTCAAAGACTGGCTAAGTGCCCCGCCTTGTAGTCAAAGTGTGATTAACTTTGCAACTGTCTAGCAAGCCTAGGTTCCGCATAAACACTACCTATTACCCGAGCGCCTGGAATGGATTCCTAGGCAAAAATCATGGCGACCAAGTTTCACCTAGCGCCTAGGCGCCGGCTAGGTCGAATTTTAGAACATAGGTCTAAAGTATTGACTGTTCCTCAACAACACAATAGATAATTATTTTTCGCCTTTTTTTTTTTATTACTCTGTATTCTTTTCTTTGTTTTAAAGTAAAAAGATGTATATTGATACTGACAATCCAAATATTTGAATACATGAAGCATTGATTGTGGCATATTTATTATGAAGTTCACCGGAGTTTATGGTCTTTGGTTATAGGGTGGAGAGAGTGGATCTCAAGCACATGCTTCATTAGCATAAAAAAACTTGCAGTTGATCTTTTTAATGGTGAACTTGATATTGTTGGTTCCATTACGGTAGTTACAAGTCATGAATTCATTTGTGTGTAATTGAAATCCTATGAGCAATGGATTATAGAATTTCTCTAAGTTCGTTTGAAATTTAGACATTGAAAAGCTACTTTGTCAATAGGATCGGAGAAACAACTTCATAGATTCATATCCTTTCACTAAGATCGGACATCGTATGTGTGACAATCTTCCAAACACCATGGTCGACTCTCGCTCTCCTTCTCTCTCTGTCAAACTTGCGTGGAGCTCTCTCTTCATGGGGGCATGCATTTGATTTTAAATTTGTGAAAAGAGGATTCCTAACTTAGTATATTTATAAACTACATTAAAGACCTTGAGAATAATATGGTTAGGTGTACTATGTTAGAGCATCTCCAATGGTCATTCTATTTTTCTATTTTGTTGCCATATGTTACAAATAATCTTATGTGGCTTGAAAAAATTCTAGAAGGCTTTCTAGATGTAGAAGCCTTTCTAGACAATTTCCATTGTATATTAGCATATTTATTTAATTTATTTATCTTTTTCAACCAATTAAAATTTTACACATCACAAATGATACCACAATTAACATCAACCATTGGAGACATAATTTTTTAGTTTTCATTCTCCATGTCATACAACACAAAATGGATCATTTTCCATTGGAGATGCTCTTATGTGCCAAAATGTACACTTCAGCTCACCAATAATAAATCAACTCACTAAATCTCTCTTATATATTATTTCAGAACGCGCTGAGCCTAAGTGGTAGTTTCGCATGCTTTGTGATCTTACATGGCAAAATAATATGCTTTGTAATATGGCTTGGATAAAAATTATTAATTTTTTATACCAAATTACTTAGGTTCGAATTACCATATATATACACATATTACCATTCCATATAAATCTATTTATTATCTTCTTTTTATAATGTGCATATAATCTTACTTTCCAGTTCTTGTTCTTTATTCATATTATTCCCTTATGTGTTTTAAATAAAAAAATTATGAATAAAATTAATGATATATTTAAAATTTAAATTAAAATTATTAATTCACTTAATTATTTATTAAAAATTGTTATATATTGTTCATTAGTTATTTTTTCCAACTTCAACAAAATATATAATTTTTATTTTATTTTATTGTATATTTAATTATTTATCAATCACCCGTGTATTACACGGTATTGTACTAGTAGATATTATTGAACTATCTTCCCTAAGATATAGCATGCCCGTTAATTAATTTAATAAGTTATAAATTAATTGATTACATTTTTTATTCTAATAATATAACACTCCATTTTATTATCATGTGGTATAAAATATACTTTTGAGGTTTAAATTTGTTGTCGACCCGGAGCCAACCGATTCTCACTCATTGATCTTTTGCAACNTAAAATTTGAATTCAAATTTTAAATTGAAGTTTCAAATCAGTGGGTCGAATGAAAAAACTGACCATTCGGCAATTTTGTTGGGCCTGTACACGCCAATTTATTTATTTATTTATTTTTTAGAAATCAAAATCAACTCGTGCATTATATGGTTCTAGTTCCAATTCTGGCCTATACGTCGAGTCAATGGGTCGTGTTGTATACAGCGGCCCGATTCTGCTAGGTGTTGTAGTCTACTTGGGTTATGTTTGGTAAATGATAAGTTTTTTGATAGCATATAACTAAATTTGGAGTTTGTAGCTGATATTTATTGCTGATGGCTAAAAATTGGTTGATATGATAAAAGGATTCAATAAAATTGATTGAAAAGCCAACTAAAGTAAAAAATTTAACAGACATAATTGAAAAGCTATAAAAAAAAATTATTTGATAAATTCGAGCTTTTTTATAACTTACAATGCTTACCAAACACACCATTATAGAAACAAAAGGCTAATTGTACTTTTGCAAATCGAAATACTCAACCAACTCCACACGTTATATACACTTTCAGGTTCACAGTCACGTGGTACCTCCATAACCGCATCGTATAAATACGCCTTGTCCTCAACGTTCCTCAACCGTCGACTCACACTGCTCGCTCACGCACAACGCGAAAAATCTGTGGAACCTCTCCAATTCGAAGTCACGCCACTTTTCATTTCCAAACCCCTTCGTTGTTCCTTGTTCACCAATGAAGCGCAAGCTCAAATCACGGACTGCTGAAGTAGTCGATGCATCATCGGCGGAAGAGCAGTCTCTCAATTTCATGAAAAAGCAGCGTACAAAGCTCAACCGCCGCCGGCGGACTCGCATCTCTCCTATAGTTCAATTTTCCGGCTCCGATTCACTTTTCACCGCGTTGACCGAGGTCTCGTGCGATTCCAGCATCGCCTCCGTCGGCAACCAGAATCAGCTGGAGTTCCGAAGTGAGCTTCCGAGAGTCGTTACGCGGGCGTACTACCGGAAGAGGTTCAAAAATGCGAGCGAACACTGCAATCAGGCGCCGGAGTTGTCGGATATTTCGTGCGTAGAGTCTTGCTCGGGAGCGAACGGAGGTTTGAAGCTGAAGAACAGAGATGTGGAGGAATTAGACTCTGGAAGTGGAGTGTTCGAGAAATCTGAAGTTTCCAGTGCTCCACGGCGTTCATTATCCGAGATCTACGCACATAAACAGAAGGAAAACGAGACCTCTGAAGTTACCCAGCATGAGTTCGTGCTCGCGATTCCTGCTGTTCAGAAAATTTGCCGTCATGAGATCACAAATCCGGAGGCTGAGAAGGGCAATTCGCTTGAAAGTGGTGGGGAAACACTTAATTCCGACGAGAAAAAGGTCAAAATCACTGAAGACGGAGCAGTATCCGAACAGCTGCGACTTTCGGAGTTCGCCCCGTTGGATATTGATCTGGCTTGCTCGGAGCAGTTCTCTAGCGGCGGGGTTATAAACGTTAGTGAGGAAGAGGTGCATAGTTCCTCGTCATCGGATATTTTCTATGGAATTTCGGATTTAGAGTTTGGAAGTTCAGAGTATACGCCGTCCTTGTGGAGTTATAATTCTGGAAGTCAATTTTCTGATAATTTGATCGGAGAAGGGAGTTATTCGCCTACTTTTGAATTGTTCAAGCAGTTTAAAGAGCAGTTATGCAAATCAACCATTTCGTTAAAAGCCTTCGACGATCAAAATCCTCATGAAATATATGTGAGTCCTTTGGAGAATTCTGTTTTCCATGTAAGCTGTTATAATGTAGTTAGTAATATCTATTAATTAACCATGGTGTTTTGCTGATGTCTATGTATGCCTGTGTTAAACTGTAAATATGATTGGACGCCCCTTTTCATCATTTCCTGAAATACTCTGTGGACTTGGTTCTTTGAGTGCTCTATTTGTTGTGTTTGTTTATGTGTCTGTGGCTAAAAAATTCAGAGGCCTAAATAGCAAACTAAACCAGAAATTTGGTGCATTGTGTTTGTGAATTAAGGTAATGGGACTAGAAGATGAACAAGATAAAGAGAGCTACAGGATGATGTGGAGAAGAGAGAGGAGACAGGAGTATGTACATGACTATGCTGAAGAATACAGTATTGGCACTGCCTATGGCGACCTTGTTATTCAACAGCGCCTTCGTATGGTCCAATGGATTATTGAGGTCGGACTGAACATTATTATGCTCCTTTCGAGTGCTATCTTCTCTTTTTGTGGACTAGTGCAATTTCAGATTGTGAAAGACTTAATGATAATTGATAGCGTAGTCAGAATACTTGAAAAACAAAATATGGAGTGAAATAGGTTGTTTAGCATGATAGAATGAAAGATTTCGTACCATGTCAACGTGCACCATTATAGCCTTACTAAGATAGGTTGATCAATGAGAGATATTATTCATGAGCAAGTATTTTAGTTTCTCCAAAGATAGGAATAATAAACGCTGTTGTCTTTATCTGAATAATTTTGTTGGCAGGCAATACGATCCAGTCCATTCTGCCTTGTTAACTCTTCTCCCTACTCTTTATTTTCTTTCTTTTTCCAAATATTGAAAATTATGATAACGATATTCAATAAGCTTGTTGATTTGGAGATAACAATAAAGGATTACAGGTGAAGTTAGAAGACTGAATTGTTTGTTAAAAAATGAAGCAATGGAAATGGATTGATATCGGCCTGCTGCTGGTGGTTTTTTCGAAAATTCGAGTGGTTTTTAGATTATAAACAATTCTGGGATATTCATACTTCAATCGTGCTAAATCTGAGATATATCCATGCAGGAAGCCAACAGCAAGGACCTCCAAAAGGAAACCATGTTTTTAGGAGTCAATATTTTTGATAGATTTCTGAGCAAAGGATACTTTCAAAATGTGAGAAATCTGCAGATTGCTGGCATCGCTTGTCTAACTCTGGCGACCAGGATTGAGGAAAATCAACCCTACAACTGGTAATGATATTCACATTTTAAATTCTTTTGAAAATAAGTTAGTCAAGTGTATAATAACTACTACTCCGCATTCTTTAATGAATAACAACTCCTTGTTTGAATTTGTCTAATAGAAATTTCATATTGGGGATACAAATTGCAGAAAGAAATCAAATCTGGGTAGTAACATTTTCGTAACTAAACTAAACCCCCAAGAGGATATGCATTAGCAATTAAACGACAGGATAGTCTTGAACCAATAATATTTTTTTTTCACTCTTGGCTGATTAATTACTAGCATATTGTGTATTCATGAAATGTATATCCCAAAAGTGAACATGTGAAAACTGTCTACATATGCGCCCGCAATAGATGCATGGAACCAGAATGTTGACAATAATAAAGCAATGATTTCAAGAAGATACAGTCATCAGCTAACTTCCTCACTGCTTTCAGTAATATTTCATATAATAGTCCGGCATGAAGAGAAATCCCTAACTAGCTTAATAATTTTTTTCTCAGCATACGTAGAATGACATTTGATGTGGGAGGCACGATATATTCACGGAGCGAGGTCGTGGCTATGGAGTGGGTTGTGCAAGAAGTCCTTAACTTCGAATGCTTTCGGCCAACCTTGTACAATTTCTTGTGGTACAACTTTAAATTGTGTCGTCTTAGGTATAGTGTCTCCCCAATTTATTTGGTGTACCATTATGTGAAGTAGTGGAGAATTTTTCCAGGTTCTACCTTAAAGCAGCAAAAGGTAACGAGAAGTTGGATAAAACAGCCAAATACCTAGCCGTACTCACACTTATGGGAGACGAGCAGCTGCGCTATTGGCCGTCAACTGTTGCAGCTGGACTCGTTATTCTTGCTTCCATCGCTACAAATCAAGATGCATCCTGCCACCTCATTGCATCTGTACGCATTTACATTTTCATTTATTTCTCTGCAAAAATAATACAGCTACTGGAATATTTGTGCAATGAACTCCAGAAGCTTAATGAATTTAGATGAAAATATTAAACTGTGTAACTGATTTGAATTTTATGAAACCTGCCAATCTAATAAATGCAGATTCATGCCAGAAACAAGGACACTGATTTACCTGAATGCATAAAGGTATTTGCCATTGCTTACTCGCTAGACTTCTTTCCCTCTTCGAAGTCTTTTTCTCTTTTCTGTGCAAGAGTTAACTTGAGTTTTTCACTTATTAGTTGAAACAAAACATATGAATAATCAGAAATTTGCAGTTTTCTGTAGCCTTTTGCATTTTGCAGCTGTCCTGATTGTTCTTGTTTGACAGAGGTTGGAATGGCTGGTGAAGTACCTCTGATGGAGATTGACATTTGATGCCCCTTCCATGGCGACTCTTGCGATCAATCAGTTAGCATATTAGTTGTATGCCATTATTGTGTTAATGTTTGTCATAAACCAATCGGTCAATAGAAGTATATGTAAGCCAAGTTATACATCACAATAGATTTTCTATCGCAGTACAAGTTCCAAAAAAGCTACTTTATATTCGATATATATATATATAGACAGCAAGGTTTTAGTATTGTTGACACCAAGGTTGTTTTGTGTGGGCATGCACGACAAAGTTTCCACTCACAAGGAAGAAATAGTTTGAACACTAGTGATCTGTGCCTTTAAAATATCTAATTAAAATACACTTGACAGCAAAGAGGAACTCCCAAGTCCCAAGTCCCAAGTCCCAACCAACTACTAGCAAAATACAACATCTAGCTTTGTTTGCATTGGAGCACGTTTTTTTTTTTTAACAAATTAATTATTTTTCGATGTGGCACTACACTTTCTATTGGATGCTCTTTAGTCTTTTTTTTCCTCCATGCTCCACTATATCGGCAGGTTTCATTTTAAAAGAAATCAAATCGGTCAATTCAACAGTTAAAAGAAAAAAAATATAAATTTCTAGGAAGTAGAAACTTTGTGGGAGAAAAGCAGATCTGCTCAATTCAAAAGTACAAATTGGTTAATTATGAAAATTGTCAAAATCGAATTGGTCAATTAATCGATCAAGCTACATGTTCAATATTCACGGATTAGACCAATGGTTGAACCGGTGTATAATATATTAATATTTTTAAATAATATATAGCATTTCAATTAATTAATTTATTTATAAAAATATCATTATTTACGTATTAAGAAAATTAAACATACAACTATCGAAACTAATTGATGCAATAATATATACATATTTAATATATTTAAATCTAACTATTATTAATGTTCAAATTTATTTAAATATATCAAAAATTTAAATATGTGACTTACCATGGTTATTATAAATTAATTTGCGAGCCCAACTCCATTAAGTAAAACCAAATAAAACCCTAAAGAGCATAAACAAAAAATCGGCTAATTTACATATCCATTAATAGTTTGGATAAGTTTTGTAGGTAAAGCGACGTTTAAACTTAGGGTGTGTCTGTATACAAATATTTCCGCTTAAAATGAGTTTTTTTTTTTTTTTTAACCAGAGTTAATTTTGAAAAGTATACCAAACAAATAGCTGATAGCTGAAGTGGATGACGAGGAAATAAAAGAAGCCCTTTTGAATATGACCCCAGGGAAAGCTCCAGGAGAAGACGGTATGTCACCTCTTTGTTTACAGCACTTATAGCCCATCATCAAGAGTAATATGTAAGGTTGTAACTAGCTTCTTTGAATCGGGTATGATGCTCAAACACTGGAACCACAATCTAATTACTCTTATTTCTAAGTGCTTAAAATCCAGTCTCTTTTATAAACTTAAAACCAATTAGTTTATGTGGTGTTCCCTACAAAATCATTTCCAAGATTTTCACCTTCAGACTAAAAGGTTGCCTTAAATGTTGCATTAGTGATTGTCAAGCTGCTTTTCTGCCTAAAAGAAAATTAATGGATAATGTGATTATATCTCAAGAGGCAATTCATTAGTTGAATAGGCATAGAACAGGAAACAAGAGTTATGTGGCTGTGAAATTGGACATGATGAAGGCTTATTTTAAAATTGAATGGAATAACATTGTGAAGGTCTTATTAAAAATGGGGTTCCACTCTAATTTTGTGAAATGGATCTCAGTCGGGTATCTTCTACTGCATTCTCTTTCTTGAATGGTGATGTCTGTGGATTTGTCTCACCTTCTAGAGGGAAGACAAGTGGATCCTCTATCCCTTTACATTTTCATCATGGTTTCTAAAGTTATCTAGACTGATTACCGCTAAGGTTAGGCAAGGGAATTATAATGGCTTAAATATTTCAAGAAATGGGATGGCTATCTCCCACTTACTATTTGCAGATGATTCTGTACTTTTTGTGATGCTTCTTGCCAACAAAGCCCGATCCTGCTGGAAATCTTAGAAAAGTATCAGAACTTTACTGGGCAAAGGATGAATCTTGGCAAATCATCAGTGTTTTTTCAGTAGGAATACCCCTCAGTTGGTTCAACAAGACATATGCAACATTCTACTTCGGATTGCAGTTCACAAATCATCAAGATACCTGGGTATGCCATTAGAAATTTGGAAGTCAATGAGAGAGGCCTTTGGGGTTGTTTTGGTTGTTGCCGGAAGGAAACTTAAGAGCTGAAAGAACAACTTCTTATCCTAAGTTGGCAAAGAGGTACTTAAATAATCAGTCTTAATGTTATTCATGTATTCATTATGTTTGTTTTCAGTCTACCTAAAGGGATTTGCAAGGAATTTCTCAATTGTGTGCTAAGTTCTGGTGGAGTTCACGAGGTGATCAAAGGCGAGGTATCCATTGGAAGGCTTGGTAGTGGCTGGAAACACCTAAGAAGTGGGGAGGGCTGGGATTTCAGGATGTCTATTATTCAATGAGGCTCTCAAATTTGGAGATTGCTCACTAAGCCTAACTTGATGGTAAGCAAAATTCTGAAAGGCAAATACTTTTCTAATGGGATTGTTCTTGATGCCCTGAGAACTCAACACTCCTCTTAAATGTGGAACTGTTGGATGAAAGTTAAGACATCTTATCAGCACTTCTTCATAAAGGAAATCAAGGATGGCATCAATATAAGGATTCTAAAAGATCCTTGGGTACCTGATCTTAAAATTGGGGTACCTGCCTTAAAGGAAAGGTGCAACCATTATTAACTTCGATTTCTAAACTGATGGATGAGGGAGGAATGTCTTGAAATGTGGAGCTAATAAAGGAGATGTTTGAAGACACTATGAGCCAACACATCTTAATAATCATAAAGATTAGATCATAGCAGAGGAATAGATAGGTCTCGAGTGTTGACCCTAAATGTATATTCTCTGTTGCCTCAGCTTACTCTCAGTTTGTTTGGAATTAAATGTTGCTATTAGACAAAGCTGAATGAATCTCTTCTGGTAAAGATAAGATGGCTAGAAAACATGCTGGAAACTAGATGTCAAAAGCAAGCTGAAACATTTTGTGTGGAAAGGATTTATAGGTACTCTTACAATGGCTGTGAATCTAAAGACAGGAGGTGTTGAGGTGGGTTGGGTCTGCAAATGTTGTGGTGAGGAAGGGGAAAGCATTGAACATGCCCTGTTTCACTGCAGTACAGCATCACTGGTGTGGAAACTGTTTGCTTTGGACTGGGACTTCTATCAACACAAAAAGAGAAACTTTGAGGACTGGTGGTGGCAAGTTTCTAGCCTTAACAGGTCAGAGACTTCTTAGGCCCGTATTCAATTATCCACCTTTATCTTATGATGGCTTTGGAAGGTGAGGAACTTGTGGGTCTTCTGAGATGTATGGCTACCTGAGAACTTGATTGTTCAATTTACCTGGAAAGACTGGAGGGAATTTCGCTAAAGAAGAAAGCTCAAGTAACTATAGTTGGAAGGTGTTGTTGAAGGTTTTTTTGTTCAGTTTTCAGCTATCATTTCTTGAAATTGCTATTTTTGTTTCTCTTGTATTTGTTTGGTGGGGGCTTTAGGTTTCAAGCATCTGTCCTCGCCTTTAGCTTTCCTTTTTTAGTTGGTTAGGTTACTTTTGTTTGTGTTTTAGACCACCATTGGGGTGGTTCTCCATTATATTTGACTTTTGATTCGGACAATTTGGTCCATTAGTTTGTAAGACATTTACCCTTTTGTTATGAGTATTTATGT